GTCTATTTTTGGTCATAATTTGTCTATTCTCGACCAATACCACCTAAAATCGTCGTCATTAGCAGGCGCGACGTCGCACGCGACGCCCACTGGCGCGGCGAATTACGATTCTCTTGCCTTATACCCGAATATCCGCACTACCATGGTAATACTTCAGCATCTCTCTCAAAAACCCCAAATGCAACAGTACTTGGAACAAGACTGCAGAGGACCTGCCCTGATGTTCGACTGAAGGAAACGAACGCGGTGAACCTCTATGGACTACCAGTAAGACCGGATGTATCTGTCTTCAAGCGGTGGACCGATTCAGTTTTCTCGAGACCCAGCCGTGGAAGAGCGAAGAAGAACAAACTTGCAGCCCAAGGCGTAGAGAGGTAGACTTTGCAGTCGTATTGCCCCCTCCCCCCCCAGCTACACAAGCGTCGATTCTGTTGACAACAGAAGACGCTAGGACACCAGTTTACAACCAATACTGTGAAGTTCCATTCTATTTTAAAGACAGCTCCCGCGATAAAAGTGTCATGGATAGTTGCTGTTCAATTATGAAACAGTAGCTGATAAGTAATTCCCAAAGAAAAAAGCAAGAAGAGCCCTCAAGAACACCATAAACAAAATCGCTCCCTGACAGTCACACCTCCCTGCGGTCTCTGTGCAACCCCTGGCTCACAAATCGCTTTATCACATCTCCCAGTAGTGGATATCATCCAGGCAAAAAAAAGAATACGAAAAACAACAAAGACGAAAAACACTTAAAAAAGGAAATTTCAAAAACTCGGCGTCCGAATTTGGGGTTACGGTAGCGTGCATCTTTTAGTGCATGTCGAGCTTTTGCACCACGAAAATTGCATCACTCGTGATTTTTACCGGTTCACCTTGCGAGATGAGTTGCAGTTGACTGTATGCGCTCCTAATGAATAAAATGTTATAAAGGAGAGCCAGATTATTATCCATGGGCACGAGCGTGGTCAGCAAAAAGGACATGCAGTCGATTAATGCCCGCCGCCCCAACAAAGAACAACTGAGCGGCTCTCCGTCAGAGGGCATCTAGCAAGTGGGCGGTCCAACTGGGCGGGCGTTAGAACTAGAACTTTCAGCGGCTGTAGCTCGCTCCTCGCTCACTGTGGAGTCGCGAGAGTGGGACAGTCTCTAGCTTGGGGCTGGACGACGACCATCTACTACTTGAGCGCGGGGGCTGTCTTTAAGTTATTTAACACTAGGGCAAATATTGTAATACTTACTGAACAGATAGCGATATCGTTTGTCCTTCAGGAAACGTATCAAAAGGTGCACGATAAGTTCTAGTGGTATGATACCACAATGGTCCACCTAATCCGAACACGATTATGATGAAAACTAATGCTGCAGCACGGCGGTATGGCAGTTCCTTCTCGCATGTATTTATGGAAACTTTCCTAGAAAAATAGATAGTGTATGTATTTTATACAATGACTTAGGATCACGAGATCAACTTACTGGTAATCTCTCTATGACCTCACTCATATTTTTGGGTGGATTCTCTTCGCCTGGCTTGATCTCTGCGGGATCTATGCCTAACAGGCCTTGATCTTGCATAGCAGGCCACTCATCGCTACTTGTCCTCAGCCACTCTACGAACGTTTCCAAATTCTGGAACACTACAACTGAAGCTTACTGAAAGAAAACCTAACGAAAACACCTTGAAACAAATGGAGACAGTCCCTTCTTGTGCTTTCGGCATGAACTTAGTGAGAAAATCGCCCGAGAGCAGGACCTTGTTATTTGTCACCAATCATGACTCAACTAAGATGAGCCAGACTAGCAGTACATTCATAGATCCGCAGATAAAATGGCCTAGACAAATAATGGAAGGAATGCATTTCATTGAAGCGCTATTAAAATTGGAAGTCCATGAAATTAAGACCAGCTATAGCCTACGCCATCTGATAGCTTAGTAACCCTCTTCTCTTCGACAAAAAGGGCCCAGCTTGGCCTGATGGGGATGAATGATATTTCATGAAGCTTGAAACGAACCGAACAGCGTAGAACGGGTAAAAGGATGAAGGTCTCAGCGCTGAGAAATAGTAATTGGGGGGAGAGCACCATGCACCACCTTTCATAAACTTCCAATTTTAATAGCCTTCCATTCAGAATCACAGTAGCTTCTGATTCGATGCGGTCTATACAATGACCACATCGCATTCCCAACGAATCTGACACCAATTTACGAGGGTGAGGTTTGATTACTGACGATCTCCCCTTCCCCCCCCCCATTCCCACTCTGCCTCTGGCAGTCTGCGAAAAAACAGCAAAAAAGAATGGAGAAATGGGACAGGGAACAGGGAAAGTGGTAGGAGGTTGGGAAAACTTAGGAAGATGGTAGCAGTAGATAGGTAGAAGGCAGTCGAGCCAACAGACGGAATTCTTCAATGAGAAGGGGGGGGGGGGGGGGGAAGGTGGGGATAGTCGTGATCCTCACATCACACATCACGATGATGTACCCTGCCAAGGGAAGTCTCATTGCAGGCATGATTCCCTATATTCGACCCCAGGATAGCATACGGCGACGTTTACTACTAACCTCCGCCCCACTTTACCAGTTAGTGCTGAAAGACTTCCTCTCTCAGTAAATGTCCCTTGAATTCCATAGTTAGCACACAAAAAGAAAATTTTTCATTTCTTCCTGGCACAAAGCCTATTACAACACCTGCCCTCGACGAAACGACCTCTCGATCGTGCGCGAGGACCACCCAGCGCGACGCTCAAAACACAGTACACTGAAACCTGCTTGCGAAATGCTTTCGCTACCACACATAAAGTTCAAATCTTCCGCTCGATCATTAACGAGCCAATCAATGTTCACTTTATATTGTGATACGTCGACTTCACTTTTATTCAAAATTGAAGACAACTCATTTCACTCGGCGATTTCGCTTATTTAGCCTAGGATAATAGTTGTTAAAGAGCTCTCGAACTTTCACAAAAGATCTCTGTGCGAAAGTCTGGTGGCGAAAAACGGTACTGCGTACTGCTTGTGCAAAAATGGGATTGTCGTAATACCGTATTCTATTGCGAATGCCAGTTATTACCGCGATGGAAATAAGTGTTTTCGTCTAACTCGAAAAAGGATAGCGAAAAAAGCTTTCCACAACACAGGCAGCTCATTTTACCTTCTATCAGGCGAGGCTTCGTTATTTCAACACCTTCCCCTAGATATAGAGAAAGGAAGCCAGGGTGGGTGAATCAATTCCAAGTACGGTAATCCCGTTCGCTTTACAGCGATCCCAGATTTGCACTAAAAGTCTGTGAATTCCCCTCCCAAGCATACTTGGTCCGATTGTCTTCTTAACACGATACATGCGAAGCAGGAGCGCTCTTCTAAATTTAGACGGGCTGAAAGCCCAGAATCAACGGACGAATTGAGCTAGCTTTGTATCGAAAGAACACTAGCGAGGTGGGTAGGATTTTTAGGATTTTTTTAAGGATTTTTAGGATTTTAGGAAGGACTTTTTTTAAAATCTTGCGCGAAGCGCCCACCACACACTTTCCGCACACAATGGGCCCCATTACATGCCCCCGCCCCAGATAACTCCGCCCCTCGTTGCCGCGACACAATCTTACATTCACATTAAACACGCTTGACACATTTTACACATGAAAGAACGCTAGGAAAAAGATGCAGACACTTAACTCTTGTTCGCTGAGGATGCTGCGGCCGGTCGGAGGGTGCGTTTGGCCCGCTTTTTCACAAAGTTTTTGTCCGCTTCAAGAACTGGGTGGGAGAAGTGTCGGGCGCCGCGCAAAACCCCGCATCACGGACATCGCCCCAGCATATCGAGGGCGAGCAATATTTGCTTCTCAAAATGGCGGACACATATCTCTGAATCCTCTTACGCGAAATGAAGACAACTTCTCTCTGAAAGCACTTCATACAAAGGCTGGGTATATACTCACCTTCACTCGCGTTAAGGATCAGGCCGGATGCTATGCAACTACTCCTCATGAGAAGTTGGATCGCCCACACAAACACCAAACCAAGTCATTAAACTTATAGATACATGATAGAACACTAGCAGTTGACCGACCGTTCCTAGGAAAGACTAGTTTCGTTAGGATTTCCAAAGACTCCTTATACAGACAGCCAGGCATGTTCTGCCGATGAGGAAAATTCGGAAAATACGACCCCTCTCCCTCTTAAGTTCCCTCTCTGGTACGGGACTCCTCTTCTCCATCTCTTTATTTTTGTTTACAATTCCTGCCAAAGTTTTTCAACTTACACCAGCATTTTTTTGAAGCTTCCTGAGGTTTCACCCAAAAAACTTGTCCTTCGATGAGGAGAGTAGGGGCGGGGGTACCATCTGGTTTAAAACAGCAAAAAAATCGAGCAAAATGAGAAACCAAAAAAATCCTTTTAAAGGCAAGTGCTATCTCGCTCCCTCCCTCCAGTGATCAAGTAGAACCATCTCGCTGGGATTTTCGCTGGGATTTCCAAATTATGACTTGCCCTGACTACACTTCATGGAGTACAAATATGTTACTGGAAAGTACCAAACTGGACGTGTTACACAGCAAATTGCATCTGAATCATTTATTGAACTTAATGAGAATCAAAATTTGTACAAGAATAGCAAATTATATCACACAACTTGACAAACCATAATCATGGAAGGAAATACTGCAAAGGTTGACAGTAAAAGTTACACGTTTGCAACTTCATAAGTGTTTTTGAAAGAATCTGAAGGCCAAGGCGAGGCGAGCGGCGAGTTGCATAAGTTAGGCGAAAGATAACTCAGATCGAGTAAGCAAAAGAGGTACGCAAGTCAAATAAGTAATGTTTAGTAAGAAAAATTAAAAGAATAGAAACATAGAAATGCATGCAGTGAATCAAATCAATCATATCAACATTCCGCTATACCCTTTGAGTAGTGAGCTGAATAGCTGAGGATTCATGAACAATCCTCATATTTCATTGTTCTCAAAAGGCAGTACTCTGAAAGCTGACGGTGAAAGGAAATCCCAGTGAAGAGGCGAATTTATCATGTCCCATACATAAGACAACAATGCATAACAATGAAGAAAATACCTCGTATCAATGACTATGCTAGGCAAAATATTTCAGAAAATGGAAAAATTGCTTAAGAGAAGAAATATTATGGTACGTTATGCTGGAAAAAAGAATGATGCGAGAGGAATGTTGTAAATTGCGCGTAATGGTGGATGAATAGATGAATCACATGAGCACGGAAAGAACATCCACAGAAGCGAAATAAATCAATGTGTGTAGTACCACTTTGCACGTTGGGCAAAGATATCGCTCTTGAGATTCTGGGCGAAACAAATGCCAAGTATCTAAAAATTGAAGAAATTTAATAATTTTGATCGCAGTTCGGCGACCGAGGGGAGGGGAAGTTTGCACTTTCGCTGCTTCACTTGTTCCGGTTCACCCGCCTCATTCTGTTGAATCCTGTGAAATCGTGTGAAGTTGAAGTAGACAAGGCTCAGCAAGGAGAAAGCAAAAAAGCAAAAATGCCTCCCCCCCCCCGTCGCCGAACTGCGCTTGATTAGGTTAATGCACGATTATGTTCATGCAATGGTCATGAAAAGGTCGGCTGCAACGGGGTTGACATAACAAAACGAATCCTGGTCTCACTGAACCCTGCCTCCCAATCACATCAATTACCTGCTCTTGCCTGCGCTCACTTCCTTTCTTTATAACACCCTAGGATTACTACGCTCTTACACATTTCAACTTTTCATGTTTCCTCAGGACTGGTGACGACCTCGTTGCAAATCCCGTCTTTATTTGAATAAACGGCTTTTCAATATGTCTTATATAGTTATTTTTCTTTCGGAAAAGGCGAGATTTTGACTGACATAAATTGCAGTTAGACGGCTAAGTGGGCATGATGGCTGTGGCGGGTAGTTTACTGTCAACGGTCATTGGGGATGGGGTGTGCGAGGGGAAGCCTTTTTTGGTGGATGGGAATGCGAGGGGACCCTTTCGTCACACCCCAGTCCTTTCACTACTGACGATAGCAGTAACTGCCCGCACCTGGCATTGTGCCAACTGCCTTTAGATCCACAAGGTGGCCAGCCAGATATTAGTAATACGGGATGGATCAAAACCATAACTGCAGTTCATGCAAGTTTTCATAGCACACTGGAATTCTTGCAGGAGTGTCCCCGTATTCTGTAGACTGCATAGAAAGGTGGAGAGGGGGCATCACCGGTCCGCCTAGCCCGAAAAACACGCATCCCCTTCTCCTTGAATGTCCATACTAAGGCCCGACATTATTACAGTAACTTCACACATTTCAACACTAAATTTCACAAGAATCCTGGTTGCTGTCAAATTCATCACGCTCTCCGGGCGATGCGTTACCCGTTCGCTATCTGGAAGCCTTGAACCCTTCGATGCCCTACAGCCGCTGTCCTCTACCTGTCCTTGCTACAGGGTTTCGTGGAAGGACCATGGAAAAAAGATTAAGCCACCACCCAACCCTAATAAGAATAATTCGATATTATCAAAGAAGCACTCACAGTGTGACCCACCTGAATCACAGCGACTATAATAAGTACAATACCGACTAAAAAGA